TGAACAAAGTGCTTTTTTCTGCCGTGTAAGCATCGGACAGATTTTTGAGAGCTTGCAAGGGGCTGAAAAAACAACATTTACATCGTATCTACTAGCTATCTTTTTAATGTTGTGAGACACTTTATGCCAATAAGGAATCACATGTACACGTCTTTTAACTTTATTTGTCTGGCCGCCCCCTTGTAAGTTAGTTCTTTTTATTTTTTGAAGTAGGCTCTCACAGCAGCTCGAAATTAGGTTAGGTGGGTACCCTACGTTTTTTAGCCTTTTTACTTGCTGAGCAAAACTGATGTCCATCTGATGTTTGCAACTTTTTGCAAGGGCTGCCTGAAGACATGTTAACGCGATTCCTCTCTTGACCAGTTTGGAATGTGCACTTTTGTAAGAAACAAGGCTTTTCTTAGAACGCGGGCTATACCTCCAACAAACATGGTCGTTGGAAAACATGACCATAAGGTCCAAAAACCGAATGCAGTTCAGCACAGGCATTTCCCATGTAAACTTAAGTCCACCTGACGCTTCTTTAAAAGCTTTAACGATCCCCGCAACAACCTCATCCAAACCCAAATTTGTGTCTAAAATTACAAGATAATCGTCAACATATCTAAAGACTTTAACTACATGCAATTCAGGTAGGCATTCCAAAATGCGTCTGTCCAATGACGCTAAAAATATGTTGCATAAAACAGGGGCAACCGACGAGCCAATACAAACACCAGATTTCTGTACAAAGAAACGCTCATTGTAACTGACAGCAGTGGACTGGAGGTAAAAGACCAACAGCTCTAAAAAATGTTCGCTACTAACGCCCGCGACACTTTGAAAGTTTACCTCTCCCGACTCGTCTATCTTATCCCGAACAGCTCGGAGTAACCCGTCGTGAGGCACAGAATAATAGAGGTCCTCAACATCTACAGAGAAAGCCGAGAGGGCATTTTTACACCCCTCTCTAAACACGTCAATCACTTCATCCGAGTTTCGTACAAGAAAGCACGCTGTACAGTACACTGAATGTGTGACCAATGTTGTCTATGAGATTCCATTAAGATGTGGAAAAGTTTATATTGGACAAACCGGGCGCTGTTTTAACGATAGGGCACGCGAGCATAATCTTTCTGTGCAGAACAACGCGGGGGGACACCTGGCAGACCACTGCAGGCGATGTGCTGACTGTAAGCCTCTTTTGGCTGAAACAAAATTTTTAAAGAAATCAAAAGATAAGACCGAGAGAGAGATTATAGAGGCATTTTATATCAAAAAGAAAGATGACAAATGCGTTAGCGCGCCCTCTCTCTTTTTGCTTCAGAAAGAAGTAATGTTTCTAGATAGTTGCTTGTGAGAGCGGTGATTGGTTGCAGTGTGGGTTTGGCATACGATCTTGTGTATAAAAGTGACAGTGTTGTTTCTAATAAAATCAGTTGTGAGTTAGCGCCCGTCCTGTCGTCTTCGTGTCTTCATTGTCCTTGTTGTGTTGCGCTTTTTAACCTTTTAAATCATTAGACGAAGTTGGCCAGAGCTGCCATGTTCACAGTGCGGCGGGCTCAGACTCAGTGGTGGATGCCGAGCACTATTGAAGCCCTCGGCGGCTCTCGCCACCGGCTTTGGAGGGCCACGCGCTGGCTTTAAGTGGCTGCGGGCGATGAAAAATTGGGCTCCGCGGGCTCCAGTCCACGGTATTCGCTCGCATTAGTTGTGGTCCTGTTGTTTTACGGCTGCAGCTGTTGGAGCCCAGAGCCGTTTATACTGAGAGAGTTTGGCCGATGGGCGGAGCTTGTTGGCCGCTAGAACCAGCGGATTTCGCGATAACACAATATGGCGTTACTTCTTTGTCTTGTTCATTCCTGTGAAATCGCGTAGAGTTCCTATGAGTCAGATCCACAATATGGCGGACGGAAGTAGTCATCCCCCGGTTGTCAGACTACGCTGCTGTGGTTGTCAGACTGCCAAAATCTCCTTAAGAAGGCCAAACTCTCTCAGTATAAACGGCTCTGTTGGAGCCCCGTTCCCAGCGAAATCTGGCGGCGTTCGTATGCAAGAACCCACGTGATGGTAGAGAGAGTGCGAGGGGCGATGGCGGTCGCGATCGCCATCGCCACTCGCACTTTCCCATTATTGGTGGCACGGGTCGGCACCTGCGGCCCGGGAGGCAGCTTTATGCGGCCCCCAGCACACCACGAAAGCGCCCCCCCCCCCCCCCCTTTTTTTGCCGCTTCTTTACACAGACTCAAGAACCACATTGCAGTTTTAACCTCAAATCTGGTTAAACGGAAACAAAGAGAACTTTCAATTGGCAGTGTTCGGCGTCCCTATACTTGGGCAGAGCATGTCTTCACTTTCTTTACAAAGGCCCTCCTTTCCCCTCCCCACACACATACATACTTTGCGACTTGCCGTCCGACCCACCCCGTTTCGGCTTCGTGACGACTCGGTCCGCCGATGCATGTCAGAGCCACAAAATGGCGGATGGAAATAGTCATCCCCCGGTTGTCAGACTATACTGTTGTGTTTATCAGGCTGTCAAAATCTCCTTAAAAAAACGCTGACACCCTCCAAAAAGTTTTTTTTTTCCTCATTTTTTTGCCAGGCGATTTAATAGGGTGCCAGAAGACTAGCCAATTAATACTTTGCTAGCGAAACCGAAACCTGCGCACGGAGGTCGGTGAAGTATAGAGGAGGAGAGAGTGCCGAAAGTTACGTGGCTACACCCGACAGGGCATTTTTTCCCCTCCGTTTTTTTTTTTTTTCTTTTTTTTTATATTTTATTTGGCCGAGCGCAGCAGTCCAATGCGGGAACCGTTTGCGGGAACCGTTTGCCGTGCGATTGTTCTGCAGTTATGTTTGTTCTGCTCGCTGTTCTGCACTTCCAGATGAGTTGTTTTGTACATTGAAGAGTTGGAAAATGAGTAGTGAGTGCCCGTAGTGCATGCCCGTGATCGGCTCCAAAAAGAATGCCCCTGTTGCGTGAAAAGCTGCCTCACAGGTCCTGCATCCGAAAATGGCATTGTGCGGCAGAGACTGAACAAGTTTCCGAAAGATCAACGGGATCGGGACCAATGGCTGGCTGCAATTCCTGCAAATAGTTACGGGCACCTCGGAAAGCAGACGCTACCCGATTTATATGCTTCTTGCATTTTGTGAAAAGTGACTACATTGAGTTCGCAGGTGTCAAAAAGGGAGTCCCATATCATTTAGTTCAGTGACGTTTCGTCCGCAACATTTGTTTATTAGAGAGCAGCTCTTAGGCGCCCGTTTCCGGCTTGAGCGGCGTCACCGTCGGCGTAACCGCGCGTTGCCTTATGGGACGCTTCCCGTAATGACATCACACGTGACGTCACCTGTGACGTTACGACGGTCACGAGTGATGTCACGAAAGTCACTAGGGTCACGAGTGACGTCGTGAGGGTCACAAGGGTCACGAGCGACGTCACGAAGGTCACGAGTGACGTCCCGAAGGTCACTCGTGAAGGTCACGACCTTCACGAGTGACGTCGCGGGGGTCACTAGGGTCACGAGCGACGTCACGAGGGAGAAGGGAGGGAGCGAGAGGGAGGGAGAGGATGAAGGGAGGAGAGGAGGAGGAGGAGGGGCATACCTTCTTTTCCATATCCTCCCCTCCTTCTCCTCAAGAGCTGTGCTCTAATTAGGCATTACAGGGAATTGTAAACGTCTTTCATTTTCTTCAGTGATAATTGTAAAAAAAATGTGTAAATATCGCAAAATGTTTGACAAAAATAATTTTAAAAAACTGTCAGCCTTTCCACCCTGGTGAAGAAGGAAGACCAGCCAAGCTGTACTATGGTGGGAATAAAGTATTTATAAAGGTAAGGATTAAGGTGTGATTAGGTAATTGGTTATTTGAACGATTAAAGAATCAGACATCTATATAACGATCCGGGGTTGTTATTTATTTCGTAACCACAGTGACCATATGGCCTTGTGATCGCTGTGGTACACCGCCATAGTTTGTACGCTGACGGCAGGCACGTTCTTCGTGAAGACAAGCTATACACGTCCGATGCCTGTCGTGGGCAGCCGTATGTTCGTTCACACACGCAAGCCCGAAGCGCTTGAGTGTAAACAAAGTGAACCACTTTCCCTACTGGCGTGCAATGTCAATGTTAAAGTCACCCGTCACTACGGCAGACGTGTCGTCGCCAAGCATGACCCAGCCGAAGACGTGCATCATGAATGCTTTAATGTCTCTCTTGGGCGTCGCGGGGGGGGGGGGGGGGGGGGGGACGACGACTGGTATTAGGCACGAGTATAGGGGGCATTCACTGGACGCCATATTTGAGGGAGATGTTTAGAGCGCGCTCGGAACGAACAACACATTAATTTAATAGGCTGCTAAGACCGGCAATCTTGATGGTTCGTTATGCACGCTGCAAAAGAACTGTGGAAGCTCGCCATCAGCACGCGCTCAGCAACCACGCACACAGATATGGCCGCCAGTGAATACTCCCTACTCTAACGGTGCCGTATACACTCCCAGCTCAACCCTGACGCGGCGTTCGGTACGCCAGCTAAGTGCTGCGTCAGAAACACACACAAATCAATCATCTTGCTTCTCGAGGTGCACGAGACGATTCGGTGTCTTGATCATATCGAGCGCCGCCGACAAAACAAAGCGAACGACACTCCCACCCTACCGTTTTCACCCTGCAATGACCATAAATGGTGAGAACGGCAGGGGGGTCTTACGAACAACCGGCCTACAGCATAAGCTGGCGGCCTTTCGCCGTGCCTTGGCTGTGTGTCCATACTGAAAGGTTGGCTAGTTAGTACATCGTTTCTTTTTTCTCAAAAGCGCCACAAGACAAGGACATAAAGTAAGAGACACAGCAGAAGCTGTGTGTCGTGAGCCTCCAGCGTGCACCCACGCTGGAGGCTCACGAGATTGCGCGAACTATTGAAAAGGGTCTATATTCTTAACGGTCTTGGCCGAGCTCCGCGACGTGCCCCAGCTACTGCCGAAATTGCACTTCCGACGACGACGACGTTTTTGGTTTCAGCTGGAGGGCGTCAATAACGACACCCTGAACCAGAGGCGGTTCTGCGGTCGACAGTTTCCCCGTGCGAATGGCGTCCGCACGCTCGGGGACAGCTTCACCATCTGGTGGTTCTCGGAGCCGCTGCCGGGGGCCAAGAGGACAGCCAGCTTCAAGGTGGTCATCGTGGCCTACGTCAACGCGTCCGGTGAGTGGAACCTCCTGGGCGCCAGTGCTCGGGGTTGGGGTAGTTGGTTTCCTTTCACACTTTGATTGCACTGAGTTCCGAAGGATTACCAATAAATGATACTGATGAGCCCAAGGGCTAAACGCACAGGACACGCTTTCTGCTGTGAACAGCATTTTCTGAACGGAAAGGGAGGTTACTCCTCCGCTTCCGGTTCACTTCGGGACGTTGTTTGCCGGGGATGAATGTCACCCTCCGCTAGTGTCCCTGAAAAAAGCAATGGAGCGTGCTCACGGCGGTTGTTGTCAGTCCCCAATCTTCAGAAAAAAAGGGGAGGAGACGACAGCGAGGTGGTGAGGAGGGAAGTCGAGTCGTTTGCGTGGTCAATGTCCTCACTGAAAACGTACGCGCACCACGCAACGAACACGGTTTCTGACATGCGAGCACTGTTTTTTGTCGTGCACAGCAGAAAGTGTGTCCTGTCTGAACAGCTCGTGTGTGTCGCGTCGTGTTCCTGGTGCCGTTAATTGTTAATCCATCCCAGCGCAGCTCAAACAAAGCATTTAAATTCTGGGCTTCGCTCAAGTTTCAGGTTTCTTGATTTCTCCTTCTGCAGGAACTGAAATTAATAAACTTTAATCAAAATACAAATATTTATCTTCGTACAGGGAAACATTTTTTTTTCTTCTGAAATTTAAAAATAATAAAGACAGAAAGAGAGAAGAACAGAACAGGCAACGGAGAATACACCTGCGTGTTATATATATTCTTCAGTTTTTTATTCAGTTTAGCTTTCATTGATTTACACTTATTCTGAGACGTTACATTTATCCTTTTCGGTTACTGTTCCAGGAGAATTTCGCTGGCCAGAAATTACAATTGAATAGAGTTATGCTAAAGCTGACCACTCTCAACATTCTTCCATACACTTTCCAGACGATTTCTCGGAAACGTGTTTCAATACAAAACTTAAATTAACGAATATAACTAACACGCGCATTTCAATCAATTGTTATTCATAAGCTCCTGCCTAATTTCAATGCTAAATTTAATACCGACATCTCCAACCTGGCGAGTGGTGCACATTACAAAATTTCACGTATATAAAAAAGAAATGTGCAGGTGTACTTCGATCTATCGATCAAATTGTCATATTCAGAAATGTTTTATGAGGAAGGCGGCAGACCATAACTCCAGTCGCGTGACGCGCCGTGTCTAGCGTCGCCGGCCCGGCGCAGGTGTTTGGCAGTCGACTGTCCTCGTCCGTGGCACACTTTACTTTTCGAGGCTAAATCACAGATGGCTTTAATAAAAATGCAAATATGCATTAGAACCAGTACTAACATTACGGAAGGGTGGTGACAGTCGAATGGTCCAGCAGAGTAAAACAACCAGCACGGAATTGCCATGATTGTGCGAACGCGGTATTAAATTACAAACAGCTAGGGGGGAACGCAGCAGGGTTTTTACGAGTTGTGTGGAACACATTCCCGTTTCCCCGACTTCAGCGCTAACGCTCCCATTCCCTGCTTTGTGCAGCGTTCAACGGTCACTGTCCATACGGCTGGCGGCAGTGCGGTGATGGTGCCTGCATTGAGCCTGGAGTTTGGTGTGACACCATTTACAACTGCGGAGACGGCAGCGATGAGACTCCGGAAATATGCGGTCAGAACTCTGCAAAATCTTTGCTACATTGGCCCTTCTAACGGTCTTGGGCCAACGGTATCTGAGTGCGATCTATAAATAACCGAACTCTGAAGGTGTACACAATCTCCTTATCGGTGGACGAGTGGTCTAGCGCACATCAGCTCGGAGCACGTGCCAAAGCTCGCTCTGCTGAAACCAGGATTCTGGGTTGGATCCTCACACCACTGCCCGTTTCGACCTGGATGAGCATCGTACCAGCGTGCGGTCGTGTGTCACTACAGCGTGGTGCACGTTTAAGTCCCCCAGGCTAGGGGTTGTACAGCAGTGGCTAAATTGCTCATCTACAGCTGAGAGACAAGTCGCTCGTTGAAGCCAGACAAACTTGAAAACTGTATAAAACATACCCACAGCCATTTTCTTTTTTTACAGTCTTTCACAATGTTAAAGAACCAATTGCCGGGGCAGTTTATACGGTGGTGATAGGCAAAGATTGACAAGAAACACTTCCTTTTTAGAAAGAAAATATAACGAAGGATCATTTATTTCATCACCCAAAACAATAGGGGTCTAATGAAAGACAATTCAGCACATCTGCCTGAAACTGTCTCGTTTTAATGGGTCTTTTCGTATATTTAGAAACTACATTGTGTTGCATGTTTTTTTTTTTTTATTTGTTATGAAACATAAACAAAATAAAGTAAGGTCTCAAGTGAGCTACATAAGGAGGCGAAGGAAAGTAGGCATGCGCGACAAGACTTCCACCCGGCGGAAAGTAAATGCCCGCGACGGGACCGCCACCCTGAGAGAGCGGAAGGAAAGGAAACTAGGCACGCAAGCGGCTTGGAACGACGACAAATAGGGGGCGGCGCGAGCGTAGACATGGCCGACGCGGGTCGCACAGCGGCAGATCTTTGAGAAACCTTTATTATCTACCTGAGAGTGTACTGATCTTGAAAATGGTCCCTATCGACAACTAATATACTGAAAATGCATATCTAAGTGATGATACGTATAAGCTTTTGCATAGAATGAAGCGATTTTGCATCAAATTCGGGACCCGAGTTTTTGTTGACGCACACGAAAAATCCACAGAACCCTAGCCACAAACAGCCTCGCTGTAATTAATACACATGAGCTTTATCCCCGTTGTGCGACTTGGCGTGGTAGTTCTAACGGCAACTCTGGCCCCTGAATATGTCCCAACTTCCACATTATTTGGCGCTACCACTATTTCTAGATGCCTCCCTCAGCGCTGTAATGCAGATGAAATTCACTAACAAGGGCCGTCAGTGACAGAGTCGGAGACTCCGCCATTTTGAATCCAGTTAGCCAACCCTAATTAGTTCATCTGTTGTAGGCGGACCAAGTGGAACTCACAATGCCATTAGCGGCTTATGGGCAAACTTTTGATAGTGCTGACTGGCCTGAAAATTGGTTCAGTATATTATTAGACATATATATCTGACCTAGTAACCCCAATATTAGGTTAAACTACTTTTTTTGCTGAGTTATTAAATTTTCAAACTTTATGCTGTAAGTTATTCAAATTTCAAACTTTATTCTCACCGTTTTTTTCCTGTTTTCCTTTTTTATATTGTATTTAGTTGGCATTGTATTTATATTTTGAATGACTACAACAAAATGAGCTGATGGGACTTCGGTGGACTCACGTTATCGCTTTTATGTTGGATGTTTTCAATCGACACTCTGGAAGGTTGAAGTTTACACATGAACGTGAAATGGCATGCTCTTGCAGTTCCTCGACCTGAGACTGAAGTTCAATAAGAATTACGTTTGTTGGGCTGAGCGCACGAGCACGCGTTGTCGCTGAAATCAACTTTACACTCTGTTACTTGCAAATGTAAGCCATCGCGATTTAGGGAAAAGTGGTTGATAAGATTGCAAGAGAACTGGTGGAAGCGCATTTGAAATAGGAAACGAAGGCGCACCATACGTCATTCAGCCTTTGGTTTGCGTCAGTCAAACTTCGGTAACCTTTTTTGAAGCACGTGTCGACGCGACAGCGATGCGGAGGGTTTATTCGACGTTTTTTCCTTTTATTACGTACTCACTTTATCCCGTCTACACCTTCATCGTTTTGCTATTTGCGCGCTGTTTCCAGTTTTTTTTTTTTTTTTTTTTTTTTTTTTTTTTACGCGATAGCGTTAAGGAGTTTGTGTCGCGACAAATTCGGCGTCGGTGGCGGGACGAGAAACGCCGGCGTCGGTGGATTGCCGCAAAAATCCTGATTGGTCGAGAGGGTCGTGACGTCACAGCCACATGACCTCGCCCGGGCATCTCAAACAACCCGCAACGCTCACGTGAAACGTGACGTCACACGGGGAATGAAAGTTAATAAAAAACAAGACATGTAAGGCTAGTTAAAGGTCACCGCATGTCTCGAATAATTTCACTTTATAAATGAGCAGAAGTTTATATGTTTTTATTTTTCGCTATCGCAGTTCACTTTTAAAGGCGAATCTTAAAGCGTCCTCCGAGTTTTTTTTTTTTTTTTTTTTTTATTATTGTGATTTTTTTATATTGTAAATTTGATGACAGAGGTAAGGGGCAGTGCAGCTTGTTCCCGACATGTTAGAAGAAGTTTGATGATGTGAAATATATGCTTGGGAAGATTACTCCAGCACGGCGAAACTTGATTGCCGTTTCCTCAGGAGCTATTTTGAGTTTATAGATACTAAATAGCCCTCCGAGAAGAGTAACGACTGCGGTAATAAACAAGTTACGTTTAGTTTGGGTAGGTGAATAAAAAAAACCACAAAGCTGTTATTCTCTGTTTCACCTTATGTCCGGTCGCAGCGGATGCTACGAGCCATCGAAGCCTATCCAAGGTCCTACGAGGTTCCGGTGACCTTCGAAAGAAAGCGCCGTGGCGCACAGAAAGCGTTGTTACGTGTTTCGCTCAAAGAGCTGGACTGACAGGGATGGCTCGGAGCGTCCGCTGCGACAGGACGGGAGGTGAAACCAAGTGTAGCGCCGTCGTGAGAACTTCGATTTACTGCAATCGAGCTAACTGCCTCCAAGGCAGTTGAGAGGGCTCGTGTAAGGGTATGAAAACACGTACATAGTGATACGAAGATGAGTGAAGACTCCTTTGGAAGAGAGGAAAATACCGCTACATCGATTCTCTGACCCGTTTCACCCGTGGCTGACACTCCTGGATGGTGGAACAAAGGCCTATAGTTTCCAGACACAGGGTCCACGCTTATCTATGTTTGTATACCTTGAGCATAGCCCAAGATTGCATATCTTCATTTTTGTGACAGCGCTTTCATTTCTGTTAGGGAGCTGCCAAGATATAGTGCTGATCTACAACCAAAGCGGCTGTTTTGCTTTAATACCAATAATTTACTCCTAAATTAACGTTCGCATTTTATATTAAACTGTGGTGATATTTTGAGGTAACCCCAGCTATTCTCGAAGTACCCAGGCTTTTTTCTTTGACCCTTTTGAGAAAACGGCAAAACGATTATGGCAAAATCAACACTGAAATTTTACTACGCTCTCCAGTGGGATGGTGCCACATGCTGTGTATCTTGCAAGTCGAGCCGGGAGCCTAAAAAACAGCGTTGATCCCGTAACTGATCACGTCACAACATGGCGCTCCGCTCCAAGCAGACCGTTGCTAAAAAGAAGGAATTTTCTTGTAGCCATTGCGTTTTCTGAATATCTAACCATGAAGACTTTTTCTATCGTCTCAGTACCATAACTTAAGCGATGAAAAAAGCCCGCGCAATAAAGTTTCAGAACCGGTCTTGCCTTGCTAACAGACAACACAACGGCTTCGTGGGTTCAGTGGTTTTTTTCTGAGGGGGTAGAGGATTGCGTTGAATCAGGTTGGTGACGATCGAGAAAAACTCGAACGATGACGACTTCTATCCTCGGGGTCAACTTTCTGTGGGATTTCAGAAGCGAAAAGTGCCCGTGCACAGCTTTCATCGACACTCGAAGTGCCCGAGCGCTCAGACGCCTTCCCGTAAAGCTCACTTCCACAATATATAGAAGGTGAAAACACTTTCAAGCTGAATCACTTACGACAACGACGACGGGAAGTGTCGTACTTCACGTACTTCACGTTAAACATTTCTGACAACAGAGTTGCTTCAGTGCACATCTCTGTGATCAAACGAACTTATTTCGACACGTAAAGGGGGAAATCAATGTTCCACCGCGATGAGCCGGGCTTTTTTTACTGCGGTTACTGCAGGGTGAAACCAAGAAAGCGTTCTTTCTTAGTCATGAACGCTTCAGGTCTTAATTAAAATTGAAGAATCAAGAGGGGTTTCCTCAGTATGATGAGTATACAAGGCGGGTACGGAACACACACCCATATTCCAAGCCTGAAAAACTAAGCTTGTGGTCTCGAACCGCTCACGCTAGAGTCAAAATAATTGCTATTTCATTACAACGCACGTTAACTGCAAAGTCAGAGAGAGGGCCCCAAGCTGCTTTAATATAATGATCTGAACAGATGCTTTTCTTACTGTATTTTTGCAGATCTCCATATACGTCACATGATTTTCGTCAGACAGTAAAAACGAATCGCAAATGCAATTCGTTTTTATAAACCTGATTTGTTTTCTTAGGCCTGTCATGTTCCAAATAAATACAAAATCAAAATCGTATCACTGTGCAAACGATTCAAACTGTTGCAGACGGCATACTTCAGTTACGTTCGTCATGCATGCGTACGTCGTCTGCAACGGGCACCTCGAGACATCTCGAGGATCGGAAGTTGTTGTCGCAAACATTTCAGAAACAGCCGATTCTCGGCAGACTTCTGCCGTGGTAGGTGTGAAATTTCTAGACTTCCTTTTTCTGTTATTTTTAAACGTTTCAATTCCATGTCCGATTTTTGACCGATCCTTCTTTCAGAGCGGAATTCAGTCCCATGTATTCTTCCATCACAACGCGCCTATAGCAACAATTTGTTTGGAGCGGTGACATCACACTTACTGGGTCGATTGTGCTCATGTTTTCTTGTTTTCCTGACGTGAGCTTAACGAGCATGAACCTCACACTAGCGAACTTCTCCCGTCGCGTACAGGATGTATTGCTCCCATGTTGCCACATATTATGAGATCTGACGACATGTTTTCAGTGTTTTGCGAGTTGAACCTCCCACCCTCCCAGACCAAATAGCAGAACGCTCGTTCACAGTTGCGTCGACTGCGTTGCGCTGCGTCGTGCAACACAGCGTTCCCCCATTGGCTCGTCGTAAGGGTTGCCATAGCAACAGCTCGGCGCAAGCAGTCTTGATGCAGTCAAACGCGACTTTGTGAACGAGTCTTCAGACACCACACTAAAACTATACACGCAAAATGTCCATACCTAATTGGTCTTTGAATTTCCCGCCACGCAGTTCCACGCTTGTGTCAAAGACGAGGGTCTTGTTTGTGTTCTGTGCAGGCGCGTCCTCGTACCGGCTGACCATTCCAGGAATCGTCATCATTGCGGTGGTGGTGGCCTTTGCTGTGATCGCAATCCTCCTGGTCATCTACGTTCGCAGGCGCAGGAATGCCCACCGTGCAGCTTAGCATGGAAGCCGGTGCACTAAAACCATGGTCCCTAACTAGGAGAGGCATGGAGCGCGTTTATGACTGCTGTGTTTACCACGTCCAAAAAAAGAAGTGGTCCCTCAATTCCCGTCTGGCGACGTCATAGAAGTGTCACGCTGTCGCCGGTCGCGATCCTGGCGGTGTGCCAGCAGCGGTGGTAGATGTGGCAGACGCCTGTTCTGCCGCAGGTCGCTTTCCAGTTTGGCAGTCCACGGAAGTTTCGGCAGCCAGGTGTTGGGACGGCGCGACGACAGCGACACTCGCGCTCGCTCGTGCTTTTTGCCAGCGCGTATCTTCGACCAACCGCCAGGACCGCGACATCCGCTAGCATGACACTCTGGCTTATGTGACGTCATTTGGTGCCACTTCGGGGACACTTTTTATGTGTCGCGAGATATATAGGACGCTAAACAGACCAGTCGGAGACACGCTCGCGAGGCCCCAAACTAAGCCAAACAGAATGCCCCTTTTCAGGATACGCGAGAGAACGTGTGGACTGAACATCATTGTGTTTCTTTTTTTTTTGTTTGTTTTGGTTTTGGTTTTAACAGAAGTGAAGTTGGGGTTTGCATAGCCGTCCCGTGCCGTCGCCGCCGCCCTTTCTCCAAAAGTGAGCTGAGTAGAACGTTTCTCCAAACGTTCTACTCAGCTCACTTGCCGACAACTCGAAATCCTCCCTTAGCAGCGTGGAGTTCGTGCTGCGCCGGGAAAGAGGGTGGCTTTCGACTCACCGAGATACCGGAACCGCCCAGAGAGCAGAGACGGCTGTCTCCGCCCTCTTGAAAGACGCGTCCACGACAAAAGGTGACGGCAGCCACCCCTCCCCACTCAAAGGGAAAAACTTCGAGGCAGGGCGCGTACAACCGTTTCAAACTATGCAAAAGCTGTCGGCTCCAAGGTAATTAGATTTTTGCGGAGTAGGATGTATGCTCCAATAGTAGTAAAGAATTTGCGTCAGAGCTCATGCCGTGCGCTTTCCTTCTCGTGGGTAACATTCGCGTGTTTTCACTCCCGATGACTCTGCAATGTGGATTGGCGACACACTGGTGTCGGTGAAGTGGGAGCTCCTCCTACCCCTTTCCACTTTAGCAGAGAGCGAACGCAAGAGAGCGGGACCTCCGCTCCAGCACTCGCTCTGCTAAAGTGAAAAGAGGTGGGAGGAGATTCCACTTTGGCTTTTAACCTGTCACTACGTCGTGGTGTAAGTAGAGAACATTGAAAGGCCAAAAAGAACAAGGCTATACGCATAGCAACTAAATAAAAATGAGTTTTCCCAAGCACATCTCGTCTCTACGTGGCGCCCACGGATGTGCGCATACATACGTAGTGTTTGATTTTAATTCGAACAGATTTATTTTAAACGTATCACGAAAACTACACTAACGCGGTCTGTGCGGGTGAGTTATATGGCCCGGCGGACGTAACACAGGGAGTTAACCGTCACAATAAAAACATTGCTCAACTAAAATGTGTTAATTAACTTTTTAATTAGTGAAAAGAAACATTTAGTTCCAATTAGAAACTTGATAAGCGTGCTTTAAAACCACTAGATTAGTGAATTTTAGGAGGATTTGGATCACATGATAAGCGTGGGGGTGCGTTAAATGTATCGCCGCTCGTGCATGGCACAACGCTGGCGGTAATTCGGTGAATTTTTTTTTTTTTTCATCCGCGTTTTCGAATTTTTAGCGCCTGTTGCACAAATGGAAACTCTTGCACAACCTCGCACTTGCCACCTGCTCCAAATCCTTATAAAAAATGACTGACTTTGTTGTTTTAGATGTCGCCCTGGCTGTATAACCCACCTGCTCAAACCGCGTTGAACTACCTTTCACAGATTTTCTAACATCGATCTGTTGGAATTAAAATTCAACACCTTGCGTATTGCGAATGCATTCTGCACAGATCACGCTCAGGGGGGAGATGAAAGAAGCGCCTTTTAGATTTGTGTAGGGTAAACTCCCTGACCGGAGTGACAGGCTTCTCCACGACCTATTTGTAAAGTCGCCGTGTGCTTCTTTACAAACAATGACACTCGTCTTTCTCACACTCGCGCGCCAATCCCTCATTTACACAACAAGCTAAAAGTAATAGCCACTAGTCGTTTTCGTGTTTATTTAAACATTGAGCAGTGACGCATTTTCCGGGCAGTACGCCGGAAAATGCGTCACTGTTCACACCCGGTGTACAGCCCGCAGAGGCAAACTGGCTGAGAAAGGGGAATTTTTCTTCAGATAATCCGCACGGGGTGCATAGTCCACACCTGGTGCACCTACAGCGTAAAAAGTTGCCATGCACAGTTAAAACAATGCCTGCTGTGTTAACAAGAACGCTTGCACCGTACAGAAATGAGCACGATACGTCATTCTAAAAATTCCTCCCGTCTTATCACAGTGAAAATTAAAAAAAAATATATATATAAAAAAATCCTCGTAGAGAGATGGTCCGTAAAATTTCAACTTTCAAACATGTCTTGCTATTGTCCGAAAAAGGCGGTGCACGCTGAACGAACAGATGTCATCGTTGCTTTAAATTTGTATTGGCGACGTGCTCCCTATTTGAAATTTAGTTACATCGCGCCATATCAATTACTCCTATGGCTACCTGCACCGAAAAAGCCCGAAAAGAACGCGCTTTAAAGCAATCTGTATCTGCGTCGAAAAGCAGAAGCCTAAAGGCAGAGATGTCTTGGCTCCCGCAAGAGGATTGTGGACACACCGATCAAGATGAACCAAGCGGCTCTCAAGCACGGACTCCCGTAACTTTGACTGTCACAGTAAGTAGTCCGATAGAATATAGTAGTGACACCTCCTACGGCCCTGCTGCGGCGTAGCTCCCAGCCGCACTGTGGTACAATTCGCCGGATCTGTCAAAAGGATACTTGACAGCCAAAGGTTGAGTGTGGACGATATTCCATATTGGATTAACGTAGAAGCTGAGGCTAGTTGGTATGCAGACATAATTAAAAACAAAACAGCGCAAAGACGAGAACAAAGAAAAATGTAACCGACACGACACAGCGCTGACTCTCAATTGTAAAGATTTATTTATGCTATCATCCAGTATAAATAGCAAACATGCCACACCAAATGAATCGAGGAAAAACACAAGAAAATGCATATCACGTGTTCAATACAACACCGTCACTGGTTTGCCTCCTCGCTCCAAGTACTGCCGCTCTTTATCTGAAAGCACGAGCGACGGGACGCTGACACAATCTGCTTCAGTGACATTTTTATTCACTTATTTTTTTATTCACAAAGTACAGCAGTGACATTTTTATTCGCTGTCTAGTCTGAGACCTTACGAAAGAAAAGGCGTAGTAACTCCACTTTGAAGACTAGACAAGTGAATAAAAATGTCACTGTTGTACCGTACCTGCACGGTATCTCACATAACCTGTAGAAAGTGGGAAGCCGCGTGCGAGTTGAGGCAGTGTTCTCAGCACCAAACAAGCTGGCCGGGCTTTGCAGAAAAGTTAATTCAGATGTTAAAAATAAGATCGAGTGCACTAAAAAAACACCAAAATCAATTCCTAGCTTCTGTGCAGGGAGTGGTCTATTCCATTCCATTATCTTGCAGCCGTCGTTATGTCGGTCAAACAGGAAGATGCGTCAACGGTCGGCTAAGAGAACACAGATATAACGCTTTTAAAGTTATGTCGGTTCTACTCGGGGTGCACCACAGAGATTTCGGTTGCGTCCCAGTCTTCAACAAACGCCAAGTGGTTTTATAATAATAAAACCACTTGTTTTAAATTAAAGACAGAGTCACGCTTGAAATTCTAGAAGCTCGTGACATCGCAAGACTGGGACCAGATCAGGGTGTAAGATAGACAGGTGGGGAAACGGCCCATAGAAGCCTACCGCAGCGCCGTGACCGGATTCTGCACTCGTCTGCTAGCGGGTACCCCCGATTTGCGACAGATGACGCTGCGGCGAGAAGAAAAAAATCGGAATCGGATTTGCATGGAACTCTATGGGAGAGTGCGCAAAATAAACCGAGAGCACGACAGTCCTCCATTAAAAATCCACGAGAAACTATCTCCGTCAGTTTAGCCAGTCTCCACAGATCGCCCACCCGGAGTGAAAGTTCGCGGTGCTCCACATAGATGGCGCCACAGAAAAAGAGAAAACCGAGGGGGACACAATGCGGTCGCCCATTCGGCTCTCTTTTCCCCACCGGTCTATCCTGGACCAGATTGTGTTAGCACCCGGTCGCTCGTCCTTTCAGATAAATAGGGCAATAGTTGTAGATAGGAGAGCAAACCAGTGGCGGTTTCGTATTGAACACGTGATTTGCATTTTTACGGTGCAGCTGTTTATGGCAAGGGTTGCGTGGATTTTTCATGGTCGTCAACAAAAACTCGCAGCGCTCTTTCTTTGTCGTCGTTCCAAGCCCTTCCGTGCCCAGTTTCCTTCCGATCTCCCGGGGTGGTGGCACCGTCGCGCGTGTCTACTCTCCGGCCGGCTGGCGGTCCCGTACGTCGCGCGTGTCTAGTTTCCTCCGGCTCCTCGGGGCGGGCATAGTCGTCCACGCGAATGTATATAAGTAAACAGAAAGACAATTTGCCGTTCTCCATTTTCAATCCCACTTTTTTCGTCGTAAGGGGGAGGCCGCGTATAGTCCGGACTTCCGAAGAGCAACGGCGGGAACGGCAACGAGAATGTCAGCGGCGGCGGCGGGCGGCAAACACCACCGCTGACGATCATGTATAAATGTGTTCGTACTTTTGTTCAAAAATTTTGTGTCACGTCTGTGTCCACCTTCACAGAGTGGAATGGCTCAATATTTTTTTAGTTTTTCCTTGATTTATTTTCTGTGGCATGTTTGCTAGTTATACTGAATGCTAAAATAAATAAATCTTCAGTTGAGAGTCAGCGCTGTGTCCTATCGGTCAGCTTTTACTTTGTCCTCGTCTTTGCGCTGTTTTGTCTTTTAGGCGCCCGTTTCCGGCCTGAGCGGCGTCGGCGTCGCCGTCGGCCCCGCATAACCGCGCGTTGCACTATGGGACGTTTCCCATAATGACGTCACGAGCGTCACGAGGGAGGTGGAGAGAATTTTTTCGTTAAATTTAGCGGATAAAATTTCTCGCTAGATTTAGCGAAAAAAATTTCCCCGCTAAACTAGCGGGGAAATGTTTCCGCTAAATCTAGAGAGAAATTTTGTCCGCTAAATTTCCGCGCTAAATTTAGCGGGGAACTTTCTCCATTGACTTTAGCGGGAATTCTAGCGAAAATTCCCCGCTAAATGGGAGAGGAGCAGGAGAGAAGGAGGGGAGGGGGAGGAGGGGCATACCCTCCCCTCCTCCTACTCAAGAGCTGCGTTCTAATTCAATATTACAGGGAGCTGCAAACGTCTTTCATTTTTTTTAAATTACAATATTGTAGTATTAATTTTATGTCTCGCCACAATGGTAAATAGCCAGAGAACTCTGATTTTGGCACCATATTGAAGTGGCTTGGAATCTCGCTTGGAACGTTCGTTCAATCTTGCCGCTTTCTGGTTTTGTTCCTCAAACTGCATATAATTTTTTAACAATAAAATAGAAAAATCCATTTTTTTCGTTGGTTTGCCCTACTATCCCCTCTTAAACAGGTGCAAGTACCTAGAAGTTACGTTTTCAAACGACGTGGATTATCTGTATCCCGGAGCATCACACTTGCCCCCGCCAAGCTACCATACGGTGAGCTCCGAAAGCGCAGCCTATAATGCTATAATATATTCATAGTGGGCCAGGAGATGTGGAAGGCCGTGGTCGTGCCCGGATTGCCATTTGCAAATGCAGTGGAGCGTGTGTGCCGGGTAAAGTGAGAACCGTCTTGGAGCGAAAACAGCGAGAGGTGTGGCGCTGGGCTGCCATGGGACGGTGGCGAAGAGGCATTACGGGGCGACCTGGGCTGGCTGACTTTTGAGGCACGAGAGGCAACCAGCAAGGTTTGGTACGACAGTCGGCTTCGACACATGGACCGCTGCCAATGGCGAAGAGGTTTGATTCGTCTACACGCAACTGACCTCTCTGCAAACCCGATGGCAGGAACGTCTTTACCAACTGGAGAAGTTTGGTTTCTTCGGTGACCACGAGGAGGCAATTACCGTAAAAAAAGAAAAGAAATGGGGGTATATTAACAGGGTACGCGAACAGGGGACCGTACAGTAGTAGGAAACTGCGGAAAAGAAAAAGAAAGCCCACGCTGTCAATGTACGTTGAAGAGAAATAGCAGTCACTTCTTCGACGGGGTTCGGTGCCGGCATGACGCACGCAGCGCCCTTACGCCTTCTTCTGCTACAGGTTAG